AACAACAACAACAGGACTTGCATAGGTAGAAAAATGAATGTATAATATGTACTTTTTAGAATAATACAACTCATATACTTTCGACAGACACTCAACAATTTGTTTAAACATATACGTATTGCATCATTCGTTCGTTCGTTCATTCGTTCGTTCATATATTTATTCATTCATTCATTCATTCATTCATTCATTCATTCACTCACTCATTCATTCATTCATATGAACTCTAATTCATTTTATACAGAATTTATGTTAGTTTGATTCCATAGAAAAAAGACAGTCTCTAATCACAGAGCTATAAGCTTCGTAACATAAGTTTTTTTTAAGTGAGTACTAAGCAATGCTTGCAAGGTAACAACTGGCCTGGGTTTGAACCGTTTATCATTAATAACAATTTCTCAGTATCTATTGAGATATTAGCTATGAAAGTGTGCTAGGTTAAATCATATAAACTTTCATTGTTCTCACTCTTTATTAATTATTTGACATATTAAAGTGCACTTTTAGACATTCATGGCATGGATAAATAGAATCATCCAGAAACACATCCATATACATGTACATCACCCTTTACCTGCTTAATTTATGAAATGGTTTTGCTCAGCTGTGAAATTATATAAGTTCATTTAAAGTCTGAGGGGTTGCTATAAAATAGTTAATGTATTTGTACAAATGAGCATTTGTACAAATGAGCTACCAGTGAGCAAACGGTCAGCATGTAAGGATGTGACCTGGCTCTGTACCGGTGGCCCATTTTTGAGTCATTAGTCCTGTTAGATTTGTAAACATTTATGCCTAGCACAACATTTTTTCAATGAAGATTCATATGTAATTTCCCATGCCAGTTAACATGAAATAAGAAACCCAAGAATGGGATAAATCTTATCCTAATGGTTATAATTTAGTTAACTTTAGCAGAGGGCAATAAAGTTATGCTATGTTTGAAATATTTACAAGTTTTGGTATTATAATTATAGTTTCTAAGTAAAATATCTGTTGAATAAAAGTTACTTTCTTATATAAGAGAAATCAATAAATTAAATAAATAATCCATTTTCAAAGAAGTATACCAGGCAAATTGCCACAACCAAATATTAGTTTTGCCTGGGTTTCACGTCACACCAACATAGTAAATGTCATATGAAGACTTACGATCAAGGCTCACTGGTGCATTATTCCAGGCATAAAATATGCAGACACTTCCCCGCTTGATTGTTTCTATTATTTTTATATTCAATTCATTTACAAAGAAATTTCATTGTTCTTATTTTCTACAAGATCAGAAGTGTTTGTTTGCAAATAATAATTTATTTCAAGAAACAATCATGATTTGATGTATTAAGTTACAAAATACAATCAAAATGTTGAAAGTTTGTCATAATCTAATTATCATAGATCTCTAAGTTACGAAGAAAATACATTGACAAGGTAGGTCGCAAAAAACTTGATTATATTCGCCGATAAAAGGCGTTAAACCTGTGTAATAATTCAGTACCATGTATGAAAAAAAAACATTTTTCGGCGTTACCGCGAAGCACGTACATCGGCGTGACCTCATAAATCGGCTTAAATCACATTTTATCAGCTTATTTTCAATTTTCTATTTCTCACTTGCCTACCTCTACAAAAAATTGAAATTATACGGCATTATATGCATTGTTGCACTAATAAGAGTAGTTAAAAGCCAAACTCGCACTCAAAACGGTGGCGAAGCCATCATTTTCACGAATGATCTTGAAAAGAAAGCAATACCGTGGATATAATCTTGATGAGGGTTAAAGAATAATTTCTTCGCAACCGTATGCGGGTATTCCTTTCTTCAGCTTGGTTAAATGAAAAATACATTGGCTAGTTTTATTTACCGAGTAGGAAATCATGCCGGGCATCCGCCATTTTCCGCACGATTCTGCGTTACTTTTTGCACGTATCGTGCGTTATTTTCATATTACGACGTTACAGGATATACACGGTTTAATTATATTGGAATTTTTGGAATTAAGTATAATGGCCGATTGGCTCTCACCGCAATTTCAGAAACTTTGTTAGATTAGTAGTCAGTCACTTGCGTAGAAGTTGGTAATTATATGTATTGGTAAGCTATCCAAGAAAGCCAGTGAGGTTGATCGGCCGCCGAGATATGTTAAATTCGGCGTTTACATTAAATGAGAATGGTTCAGATACATTATCATAAATGATAAACAACAGATACTGTCTTATTTTACTGACAGTGGTCATTAAAATACTTGTTATTACACGAAAACATTTAATGCTTACCTGTTATTTCCTCTGTAAGTTTGCTAATTAAAGGTGTAACACGTTCACCCTTCTGACATTCAAAAAGAGTAAGTACCAACTTTTCTGGATTTATTTGATCTCGTTTGCACCTTGTTAAAACCAACTTCGAGGAGTTCTGTTCAGCTTTTGACTTTAGCGTTTCTATGAATGATCCATCTACAAAGTTGCGACCCCATGGTCTGAACAACTGCACGTTACCTAGAACATAGGTGTTCGTTAACAATGTATATATAAATATATCTATAAATAATATTCATAAACGAATTGTCAAGGACAGACGGGTGGATGGACAGTGCGATAACGTAAAACATCTGGTAGAAGTCTTAGCGTATAAAATGAACATTAAAGCTCGACCAATATTTAATAACTTTACACAAAACAATAACGTGCAATATGTCATTTTCATAAATTTTTCACAGGTTTCATTTTTGAAAGGTTTTAATGCTGAATTGATTCTAAATATTCTAAACCTGTAAGTAATAGAAACGGAAATCTTAGCCTCGGGCTCTTTTATAGTATAACTAAATATTAAAGCGCGCGAAATGTCACAGAAATAATGGGAGGGGGGGGGGGGGGGGGAGATGTGTATGAGAACGGACAACTCAACTGGTAGAGCCGTGGAACGATATTCCGAGTGCCAATTCGAGTTCCGGTCAGGCTGCATTTTTTTTCTCCCAGTGGCAAAAACAGTTATTCCTTTTCGATCTTACAAAATAGGGCGCTTAACTCATCGGGCTGAAATTAAAGTTGGTAAGTACATACCAACTATCGGTCAATAAAGTCATCAAATGATAATATGCAGAAACCCGGTCAATATTAACCAGGGGCGGCGAGTAATCTATAGAGACTTAAGGAAACGTAATGTTCCAACTCTCTTCCCTTACCGCGCTACTCACGTAAAGGTTTTTTCCTATATCAAAATGTTGTAATTTATATGAAATGTTGGTTCGGATGCTGTTCCAGTTCTCGGGTTGCTAGTTACTATGCACTATCTCCCTGATGTTGTATTAATGATGATATGATATGATATAATATGTTTTATGAAAGTAACATGCATATCATACTTGCTAATTCAGTTTTATTCTGCTTGCTTTCCAGTTTCTCTAACAATGCTTTATAGCGGCCCTCAAGTTCGGTTTTCTCGGCTTCGAGTTTTTCGACATCATCGGTATGTTTCTTCGTTTCCAATTCTAAATCCCTTTTGACTGCCACCAACTCTTTGGCTTTACCTTCCGAAAGATCCTTTAGCAAATCGTTGAATCCTTCCTCAGGTTTTGAATTATGTTTGGCTTTTTCACTGTACTTTTCATGAGGATTTGGATCATCGTTTTGGGAAATCATTTCGTATTTGGTAAAACCATTTGTTTCCATTTGTTTAAGCTGTTGTTGAAGAATATTCTTTTCATTAATCAAACCGCTTTCCTTCTCGTTAAGTATATCAATCTGGTGACGCTGACTTTTACCGATTGCCTTTAGTTTACCAATCTCGAAATGAAGGGATTGGATTTTCTCATCATAATATGAACCTGAATTAGTCGCTTGTACAGGACTCTTTGCGGCCAGATATCTATAAATTGCGAACTTTTCTTTCTCTAAAGATTCGTTTCCTGAAAGGTCGTTCTCTACCAAGCCATTCACCAATGATTGTAACAATTTACCAACATTTTGCAAAGCTATATATTTGTGGTCAGTAACACTCTCCTGCGAACAAAATGATAAAAGTTAAAACAATAATCATAGCTGTTTTGTAAAATATTTACGGATTTAGGAAATAATATTGCATGTAATATCATTCCTTAGCAACCGCCATAGGTATGAGTTCAGTCAAATTGTCGTATGCAGATAATTCAAGTTCAATAATTCGCGCACACTATATTCCGCGCGCAAGCTTACATACATAAATAGTCATAAATTAAAACTATACATTGATAAAACTTTGTAAAAGGTTACGCCGGATTTTTGTAATGTTTCATTTTTATTTAATTTTTGTAATGTTTTATTAGAAATGACTTTATTACAAACAAGAAAATACATAAATTGGATACAATCTTACTTCAATTGACAGTAAAAGTTGTGATGCTATGTCAGAAACGGTCTGGATTTGGTCTTTACTCGTATTTCCAACGTCTTCGCATGTATCTGAAATTATCAATAAGGACACATTTTTTTTTCACTGAAAATATTAAAAAAATTTGTACAGAATATTTATCTACTGACAAATTGACTAGAAAAAGACATACCTAATTTAGCGGTTGAAAATCATTCGTATATTGACTTATACATTAGCTTATTTGTTTAACAATTGAAAAAAAGCATATAATTTTTCAACTTGAACAATTTAACGTTACTAACAAATAATGAAATAAAATTTTGAACTAAATTGTGATGAAATAATGTTTAAATATATTTTATTCTTTTTCATGCTAAAATGAAATCACGCTATATAAACTTTAAACTTTTTGATGTTCACGCATTTGAAAAAAAGTTTCAATTGTTTTTCGGAAATATGTTTTCAATAAATCTCAATAATGCTTGAAAAGCATTAAATCTATTTGCTCATATTTTATCTACCAAACACTTAACAAATATATTGTATCAGCTATAACATTAACAAAATGACGCTTTAACAACTCTACTCTGAAAAGACTTAAAACGGGTCGAAAAGGTAATATTTCTGATAAAATCTACTCCAGTAAACAACTTGCCATTTTGTGACTCTTGTTTCTTTTCTAGGTGCAAAAGAAGCATCTGGCTGACAGCTTGCATCGAATCTATAGATTTCGCCAGTCCAGTTACAGAATGGTCGATGTCACTCATCTGTTTCTGTTAGAATGATATTAAATATAGCTAGTAATTAAAAAAAATCCCTTTATCTCTGCATTATTATAATATTAAGAATAATACCGGAAATATGCTTAATATATACCAAAAATCACGTTGTTCACTGTTCAATTTAGGTCATTGATGACTCGCATATTTCATGTACACAATAAAAGCCGATGTGCAAATACAATAAATGCGATAACAATATCATATGTTCACAATGTACTTTCAAGATTTCATACGATCTTATTGTGCCTTAAGCGGCCAATGAGCTAGAAACTTGGTAACTGCCCAAGTCATCTATTAAATCGTATTTTGGGGGTGTGATTCCGTGCTATCGTATAGTCCTATTACACTTTAGCCCTTAATTAATTAAACCAACATATCTAAATGCATGATAAATAGATGAAAAATCGCAAGTACGATGCGAAAACGTTATCTCTCATTCACGCATCGAATTTTAGCTACATGTTTAACAGTCAATATACTACGTTTAGTTATAACATCGTTTAAATGTTTCAGCTGCATCTAGTTCTGGCTTCCAAAACTTTATATGCCGCTTTTTTAATATATTTCTTTCGTCTGATGCGACAGGTACACGTCCTGTCACATTATAAAACCGGGAACGCTGAAGAACTTAAGCTAAGCAGCATCCTATATTTCAGATATATGTTACGATATATTATCTTAAATAAACACGCAAAATACTGGTATTATATAAACATTTGAAGCCTTCTTTATTATTCATGAAATATCGCTAATATCTATTAGTTCATACCTGCAAATCTTCTACCATTTCCAGCATAGTCTGTTCTGGTAGATTTGATACTCTACCTCCCATGTTTATTTATTCACGGATAATTACAACTTACTAACTTGGCAGCAACTGTCAATATATACGATTAGGAATATATTACGAACAAAACTAAATGTTTCTTGAATATTAAACTTATGGGTTTATACGTTTATGTACTAATCTATTTTTATCATTACATTTATATTACTATTTTATCATTATCACAACATTATGAGAAAGATATACCACTTAATGTAACATTCCATTTTATTTTGGTTTTATTTGATATGTTAAGAAATTTAATCTTATTGCTACAGCCGAAATGTTTAATGCAAAAGAATCGACAATAATCTTATTAATAAATAATAACGAAAAGAGAAAGAAATTATATTACCTTTGCATTTCACTTTCTGCGTATATTCTTTATGATAAATTACTTTCGCTTTTATACCACAATGCGGAGATTCCCGTCGTACTACAGCTGCAGAATGTGAAGTTCATTATTTACCTCACCGCGTAATTGTACTACTTTCGGTTTGAAACTAGTACGGGTTTCCCCGTAAACATTTTATAACGATTAGTCATATATCAGTTGCGGATCAAGCATTTAAACTCCGATATAGTTTTACTTTACGATTCAATGAATTAAACTGTTAAACGTAACAAGTTATTTGATAAGTTTACAGTTATCAAAGAATAAAAACAGCGTTAAACTTTATAAAATCTCGTTCACATTTGGTAGACTTAATTTAAAATATTAACAAATGTTTTGCACTAGGAACACAAAATCATATAATATAAACTTCAGAATTAAGAAACTGTAAATGCATTGTTACAAGTAAATGATCAATATTATTTTTTGTCCAATCACATTGCAGTATTTTTCAAATTTCTGCTAAGTCTAACTTTGGTTAATGTGTACTAACTAAATAAAATTTACTTAATCTGTCGTACCAGTCTAACAAATTTCAATAATGAGGAGTGAGATCCTGAATTGTAAAATATCTGGGTAAGCAAAACAATGCCAACATTAAAAAATTAAGCGAGGTCAGATGTTCTAAATGTGATGATTGTAACAATCAATTAATTTATTACACAGATAATACATGTTGGGCACGCAGAAACATTGATTACATAGTAACTTTTTATATCCTTTTAACTCTAAGAAAAATGTCTATGATAAATGTCTATTTAAACTTTATATTTTCTAGAAAAAGTAACCAAAACATTATTTTCTTTCAGTCAATAATAATGAACTGCATTAACAGTCATTAATAATCAACATTATTTTTTGTCTAATCACATTGCAGTATTTTTCAAATTTCTGCTTAGTCTAACTTTGGTTAATGTGAACTAACTAATAAAATTTACTTAATCTGTCGTCTAACCAGTCTAACAAATTTCAATAATGCATTATATTAGGGAGGAGTTAGAGGTGTGGTTTGTACTATGAATTGTAAAATATCTAGGTTTTCAAAACAATGCCAACATTACTTTTTAAAGGTCAGGTGTTTCTAAATGTGAGGATACAATCAAATTTATTACACAGATAATACATGTGGGGCACGCAGAAACATTGATTACATAGTAACTTTTTTATATTCTTTTAACTCTAAGAAAAATGTCTGCTATAAATTGCTGACTGTTTTAAACTTTATATTTTCCAAAGGGGCGGAGCTGAAATGCCTTGTTTTTGGTTGAAAAAAAATAATTTAATGTTTAATAATACACATTATCTTGACCAATTATTTTTGTTAATATGTATTATTAAACACTATAACCTATACTTAAAGAAGAGTTCAACCAATGTCTCTGCCTCGGAAAGGCCTATAGGTTGTAAATTGCAAATTAAATCTCGGTCCGACCTTAACAAAAATCATTTTAATCCTATTTGTATCGTTCAATGACAAAAAAGCCCGGTGTCGATGATTTGTATTAATATATTCCTCTACTTGCATTCATTCTGAAGGGATGTTCTATAAATACAGCTCTTCTCTGTATTATAATTGCTTCCATCAATTTAATTAACCTTTTACCCCATCAGCATATTGTGAAAAATGACCGTCTTCATACTACTATGAAACTATGGAAAATGCTTCAATACTGATGAAACTTGGCACAAATGTTGACTGGACCATAGCCTCTATAACAGCATGCTCAATCGTAAATTTTCTGTTACCATGGCAACGGGGGACGTCTCAAAATTGCGAAAAATCACTATTTTGCATTGTTTTTTTCCCATCAAAACTGATTTCAAAGTGCTGCAACTTCTCAATGAATTATAAGATAGAGTAAAGTAAAAGACTTTTCAGCGTCACTAGTTACCCTAAGATCGACCTGAGGCCATTTTAAGCCTGTCACATGTCCAAAATTTTCTTGGCGATGAGGGGGACTGTCGCCCCCCTTCAAACCCCCCCCCCAAACAAAAGGGGACACACCCCCCTTCTGGCAACCCCCTGATGTACTATTTTGATGCGGGGCCGCGCCGAAAAAGTGGTCACTTTTTTAACAACATTTCCAAAATGAAAAACAGTGTTTGGGGCCTAAATAGGGCATTTTTTCACCGTTTGAGGCCCCAAAAGGGGGGAGCAAAATGCCCTCAAAACACACTTATATAAGGGAATAGGTTAACAAAAAATTATGAAAAACCTTGGAATTACCCAAAACTTGTTTTTCCATGTTAACACGTGCCCTTACACTTAATTTTGGTGAAAAATGTTGTTTTGTGACATTTTTTATTTTTTTGATTAACAAAAAATTATGAAAAACCTTGGAATTACCCAAAAACTAGTTTTTCCATGTTAACACGTGCTCTTACACTTAATTTTGGTGGAAAATTGTTGTTTTTTTGTGACATTTTTTTTAATTAACCTTTTACCCCATGAGCATATTGTAAAAAATGACCGATTTCATTGAAAAGCCTCCTGTTACAAGTTCAAACTGCTATGAAACTTAGTTACCCTAAGATCGACCTGAGGCCATTTTTAGCCTGTCACATGTCAAAAATTTTCTTGGCGATGAGGGGGACTGCCGCCCCCTTCAAACCCCCCAAACAGAAGGGGGCACATCGCCCTTCTGGCAACCCCCTGATGTACTATTTTGATGCGGGCCGCGCCGAAAAAGTGGTCACTTTTTTAACAACATTTCCCAGATGAAAAACAGTGTTTGGGGCCTAAATAGGACATTTTTGAGGCCCCAAAAAGGGGGGGTGTGTGTGCAAAAAGCCGTCAAAACACGCTTATATAAGGGAAAAGGTTAATATATTATTGATGCTATTTAGAGAAATGCATTGGACAGTTGACCGTTCCAAACATTTTAGTTTTATAACCTTAGTCAGATTTATCTAAATTAAATAATGAGATATGAGTTTATGTGTTGCTGTTTTTTAACACATATTCTCTTTCATAGTTATCTGATTTTGATAACTTTAGGGTCAACATTATTTCGGTTGCAATCGACATCTGTTGTAGTTCTGTTTAATGTTGATTCCCATATCATGCTGCGATAACGGCAGTTATAGAAACAAATATAAAATTGCTTATTACAACGAACGCAGTTCCCATATTAATTCTTTGTTCATACATTGGAGGATTTTATTTCCGATGAAATGTTTAAAGTACAGCTCGTATTCGCTATTCCTTTCATTATCTGTTTACATCAATATTGACAAATAGGGGTGTCGATAATTCTTATATAATCGCCTAAATCTTTAACCATCCAAATAATTACTCATTCTTAAGCGTTCAGAGTAATAGCGTAGTGGTTGAGTCTTGGCTTCGTCAGTGTAGAGACCCTGGTTCGATTCCTGGAAAAGGCATTTTTTTCTTTTCATATTTTTGTTTTTTATTTTTTTTTTTTCAACGATCTGGATTTTAATTCCTCGTGAACCTATTTCATACAATACTATTTGAGAACATTTAGTACGCGTTCGCTTTTGACAGGTAGATAGAGGCAGTACGCACATCCGTGATTAGAGTGATAAATGAGGAAATTGTTAAAAAATGTAGCAAATTGAATTCAGAGTTTTAAATAGATTTAAATTGACAATACTATTCAATCTGTTCATTGACTGTTACAATCAAATACATTCAATTTTGATAAACCGTTATCAGCTTAAAAATTATAAATCACAGGTTTATAAAAGAGAATATGAACATGTTTTTGAAAGTAAAACCATAAAAAATGCACAATTGCAGATTTGAACTTAAAAAAAAACAACATTTTATTAACTTTCCATTCAAAATCTGAACTCTCTAAACCACTACGCTACTCGGATTTACGTGACCATATCCATTTTTATTCTTGTATATTGCAATAAAAATGCAAAGTGTAATAACTGAATAACTTGCAAAACCCATTATATCATAATGGTACGACCGATTAATGTAAATGTTATCGTGTTTGACTTATAGTAGACTGTTATTGTTTTACAATGTTTGTTTTCTATATTAGGAAATTCTTTCTACAGCAAATACATCTATAACTGGCATTTAATTCACAACGAGGCAAGTCTAACATGTACTTCCTATTAAACAAATGGTATGCAAGTGAATGCAACAAACAATAAAAGATTGATTTCAATACTTTATTCGTAAGCGGTGATACAAAGTTAATTTTATCAGTATACAGTGTTATTTCTCTATGCGAATAAAGTGGTTATATCGCCGTTTCTTTATGCATTTGTGTATAAAATAATCAGTTTAAATATTTTTACTGATTATAAAAATCATACAAAAATGAAGCAACGAGTTTGTTTGTTGTTTTTTCTTCTTAATCATGGATTGACATATCCTCGTTAAACAAAATTGTTTATTAATTATATTAATTATTTTTTGTCAAGCCATATTTGTCGATTATTCATTTTTCTTACCCTTTCAAACTTTTTTTATAGACAGATAAATATCAAAGCATAAACCATTAATATACATGCATGCTTATAACAAACGGAACTAAATGACGAGCAATACATATTAAGATGAATATCAGAAACTGTATAATAAAATTCTTTTCGCTTTCATATGGTCATACTTGGAGAGTTTTATTGAAAATAAGTGTGTAATAAGATGTTCCCAAGTAAAATATCCAACAGCAATATTTGGAGTAAAGTGATGATTTGGACATGTACATGTTTCCAAATAAATAACAATTTATTCTCCCAAGGCATCAAACATGAAAGAAACACGAGATATGTATACAACAATCATAAATATTAACAGCAGTAAATAGCAACTAAATGAAAACGATGACAATGCCTCTTCAATAAAAATTTACATATCGTAAGTACTTTGGTTTGATTTAATAATGATCCCAACATATATATTTTGTCCAAACACATCCAGTATACGTTACACCTTTTTAAGTGGAAACAAACAATGTTTTTGTTTGTCACTTTTTTGAAGTTTCGAACGCTTCTTTATCTACAGATGTACACTTGTACAATAAAGTAGAAAGATGTTCCGGAGAAGTAGAATGTTTAAAACCTCATTGATTTACATTTGGACAAAAATGTTCATTAAATCGAAAAATCAGAAGAACAATGTTTTTACTAGTCCTTTTGCATACTGAGTAAATCGATTGATTATAATACAAGGAAATGTTGCAACAGAAAGAGGTACCCAAATACGAACAGAACATTCTATATGGTATCAAAGGGAATCATAAAATACAAAACATAACATGAAGTAACATGAAGGAATATAAAGAAAAATACAAAAACTGATACACTTCAAAGGCGATGTGCAATATTTATAGGTTATTTTACATTGAAGTTTAGAATGCATGACTATATTAAGATGACTGTTACTAAAGCAATTTCGCATGGTATGCTGTCTATGAGCTTCTAAAGTAGCCCTGCTTGAACAGGAAAAACAGTAATTGTCACATAAATCAATGTACAATATAGATATAAATATATTTATACTATAGTGATCCATACATGCGAAAATGTGTACCATGAATAAGTAGCTCATTCAAACGTAGTGACTTTTTATAAATATTTTAAACGTCATAAAAGTATACATTAAAAAGGAACATTTTAAAAAGAAGAATTGTGACAAAGATATGCATGTTAAAACAATAGTTTCGTTACCAGTTTAATACAATTTTCCATAATCAATAACATATATTAAAAAAACTAATACCCAAAGACATATTCGCGTAAGTCAAATTTCTCATCGGAATTTTGTTTGACCTCTCATATAAGTAAATATTGGTAATTGTAACATCTTTTTATTTTACAAGTATTCCATCATTTTAATTTCATACAAATTGATGATTGAGAAATTACTTTGCTATGAGATATATAATTTTCTTACGATTTATTATGACATTGTGATTATCGAATATGATAATAATTACTGCAACAATAACTATCTACATGTAATAACATAACAAAATAATATTTGATACAAAAGCAAACAATACATCAACTTCTATTCTGATAAGTTTAGGGCGGATGATCACCTGACATTTGTTTACTGTACTATTGGGTCGTCGCTTATGATGTTTGTTAATAATCAAATATATTTTTCAATAATTAAATAATAAACATATACCATTTTCCAAGCAAATATGTTCCGATTCCAAAGGCTCGTTTTTTTTCTAACTTTTCCCGAAATTATTGCAGATTGGGACACATATTTTCATCATTACATCGCCAAGTAGAACACATTTTGGCATAATGAGGAAAGTATAAGAGTTATAATTACACCCAATTGAATCCTGGAACATGGTTTATGTTTTATTGTTCAATTTTTGAAAACATATAACGAACACACATCAGCAAATATCATTAATTGTGACCCAATATTACCTTAAACAAATGCCACGTGATCACACTACCTAAAACTTGCAATATGGAATTATGAAATTGTATAATATTCAGCAAGTTGTTATTTTGATACAAATATTATTTTGTGAAATACATCACATAAAACTTTGAAGAAACTTATAATAATAATTTCAGCTCAAATATTCATTTAGATTTTAGAATGTCATAACAAGGTTTCGATAATGTCTTGACTATCATCAAACGAAACTTTTAACCTGGGACATTACTTTAACAATTGGTGAAGCATTAATAGTTGCTTACTAACTAAAAAGAGTAGATTTTAAGGTACATGTGTAACGATTAGAAAAAAATAAATTTTGACAAAATCTATTTCTTTTTTTAAACTTTCTTCTACGAGGACAGTAAACATTTCACTAACACTTTCCCATGCAAAATATTCATTTAACTATGCCATTTAAATAGGCATAAAACAACTATGCACATAATGACTGTGTATAACATTCAAACTTTGTTTATTCAAACTTTGTTTATCAAAAATAATGAAGCTCGGAGCTTACACATACTTTCATGAATGGATGATATGTACACGAATTAAAGTCCTTTGAAAAATGGAATGTATAACAATCAAATTTGTATAATTACAGTGCACTAAATCATTTGCAGTTGATCTGCTATACTTTTATTGAAATGTCAATGAATAAATCACTTATATCACAATCAAATGAAATTATTCAATTTACATTGCAAATGTTCTTAAAGTACGATATTGTCATAAAAATTACAACCATTCATCGTAAGAGCGCCAAACAAACCCTAACACTTAAGCGCTGTAACTTTATTTTATAACTTTAATTATCTTTAAATATACAAACATTTTATAACACTGTTCATGTAAACCGCTTTGAACCGTCAAATTAGCACACAGGCAGCATATATAATGAACAAAAACACATAAAAAGGAGTTCATCAAAGCATGATAAATATCACTAAACAATTTCACCAAACAATGAAACAACGTTTTAAAGCGTCGCCTAGCTAATTAGCATCACGTGACACATTAAGCCACTAAAGTTTTTCCTTAACCATTTTTTAAATGATTTATTAAGAAGTTACAAGTCGTCCTTTAATCGCTTTGTACCCTCTCTCTTGATAAAATTGGTCAAACTGATGAAGTTAACTCGGTTCATGTCGCACTCGTACATTCCTTTCCCAGAAAGGAAGGCTAGGTCAAATATCCCTCCGAGATTTCTTAACTCCGGCTGTGTCAGAACACGATCACTGGCCTGGGATGGTAAAGCATGTATATCTTTGTGGTGAAATATCAAAACAGCCATCTTCTGTGTCACTAAACAATGTATGAAAAAATAATTAGATATATCTTAATGAATAGGCTCTTTTTGTTATACATCTTTATACATACAATATAAATAAAGCAATTAAGATTATAACTAATGAATCAATCCAACGTTTTTATCAGAATGCTTTCAATGAGGGGTCTATTATCTATACCAAAATACACAGAAAAAAATGTTGATCAATATTTGGAGCTACCAATATAATATCATAACATTATAGTCCAATTTCATTAATTTTGAGGACAAATTAAAGAATTTCTTGTGCTCGATTTTTGCCTGCCATAATGTCTTACAATTAAGTCCTTGAACTGTGGTGGTAACAGCAGTGCCAAGTCGAGAAGCTTGGATACATAAAATGAGAAGAGGGATATCTGAAATGATGTCTGATGGTTTAGCACAATCAATGATGTCCATATCAACACTCTCTTCTACATCAAATTTGCTCTTTAACACACATTTTAGCTCGTCTTCGACACTTGACAACAGACCAACACCACTTTGGCAATACAACTGAACTGTATAATAAAATTATATGTTTAAACAATTCGAATTTCTATCTATATGAACACTGTAAACAGAAAATTTATGTTTGCGTTACAAAACAATTCTATACTTTGCTATTTATAATAATGCACATAAATTTACATTGGTTGGTACGCTCCATTATCATATCATATAATTAACATCAACAATGTATCCCCTAAAAGTTCCCTTTGATTTAAAATGTATCTTTAAAATATTTTACTTGTGAGTAAATGTCGGACACTTAAAGTTTTTATAAGAATCATTTTTGTTTGAGTCTTTTTATTTCTCATTTTGAGATTAAAATAAACAAACCTTCCAAAATGCTGGAAAATCAACTATACAAATCTATGCAACTTTAGATACTTTCTTCTTTGAAATATTTACACAAAGATGCGAATCGTGCAGTATTTTTAAGGTTAACATCATAAAAATGTCTAAAAAGTAAATTGAATACTTTGTTTAAAATATAAAGTCGTTAAGCAGGTTGCGGACGTGATAAACCGGAGAATATATAGCCTTTGAAAATCGGCATATCCTTCGGTTCGCGGATAGGATCATAAAAGTCTTATTCCGGCTTTGTACCTCTGCACATACCATTAGCAACTAATACTAGTAAATTATAAGTTATACATGTTGCTGACGGGGGATTTACATGGGAATATAGCGTAAATGTGATAAATATGACCCGATGCGCTAGCCGTGGTTTATATTTATGTCAGCAAGGTTATACTATCCGTTTATCCAAAAGAAACATGCATAATTAATTTATAATAACACAAATTGTTACTGACGACAGCGCACGTTAGGCCTTTAACGGCTACGGCTATTGCTCATAAAATAAAAGATATAAAGTTATCATAACTGTGTAACTTATAACTATTATTTGAAGTTATGAAATTTGAATCGAGAAATATGTCATAAAGAAGAAAGTACAATTACAGGTTTTTATGCAAACAAGTAGGTAATCGTCTCTGATCTAGAAAACTATATTACTAGTATATGTGCGAATTCCGTTCTTCGTGGTCTAAACGGCACCGTAACCCAATCAATATTCGACAAATGTATTTGCATTATAATTATAATCAATATTATAAATGCATATATCATTTTTCTTTATTAAGTATCAATTAAAAGTAAATTAACAAATTCACCGCATGTATAAACACACAAAATAAAAATTCCTACTTCAGTGATCAAACTGATACTTCTTATACAATGATTATAATGCACGTATTACCTTGAATTATTTTTCGGCTCTTTATCGCTTCAAGCTCTCTCCTAACGTTCTCATACTCTGCTGTCCGCCTTTTAAGATCGTCAATAAGCTTCAATTTGCCGGCATTAAGCTGTTTTATTTCTATGTCTCGTGATTGCTTAATACTTTCCTCCTGATCAAGTCGTTTCCTAAGATTACTCTCTGTCCTTTGATGTTTCTCCTTGAGGGTATTTTCCATATCTTTAAAATTCGATATTTCAATTGCATGAGCTTCTTTTTGTTTTCTAAAATCCTCTGTCATGTTCTTCTGCGTTTCTTCTGCTTGTATCGTTCTTTCTTTAAGGTCATGTTCTTTGTCTTGTAATTCATGTTTCAGCTTTTCTGTTTCATTGAGACGTGCCTTAAGCTTTGCATTAAATTCTAGTCTTACCATATCCATTTGCCTTTCCAACCTTTCCCTGTCACTTTCTAACTTATCAATTTTAGTTTCAAATTCAGTTTTTTGGTCTACAAAACGTTTATTCAGAGTTTTTATTTCCATTTGTAATCGATGATTTTCTGTTTCAAAAGATATAATTTTCTGTTCCATATGGACAATTCTTTCATCCCTGTCCTTAATATTCAAAATCAATTGTTCATTTGTTTTCGCTGTTTTCTTGAGTTGCTCATCCTGACTTGAAATTTTTTCATTTTTTTCTTTAATAATAGTTTGATGTGCCAAATCATTTTCATTCATTGTTGACTGTAATTTAGCATTTTCTTTTGAAAGTACTTCATAAGCTGTGCAATTATTGATAAACTTGTCATTGAGTTTGCTTAATTCACGATCCAGACGTTCTCTTTCCTCTTTTTCGATTTCTTTTTCTTTTACGAGCAAAGCCGAATCGATCTCATATTTCTTTTCTATATTTGTCAAGGCATCAAGTCTGATGTTCCATCTACTAATCTCCTGCTTTTTTTCTTCTACTTCTTTTACCAAAATTTCATTTTCCGCCTCTAGCTTTCCCTTCTCTGCATGCACTCTTTTAATCTCGTTTGCCATTTCTTTCAATTTGCTTTCAAAATCACTAGTCTTATCTTTACATTTCTGATCTGCAAAAGCTAGTTTTTCATTCAACACAATGATTTCATTCTTTCGTTTTTCAATTTCGTCAAGTAAATTTGATTTTTCACTGTTCCTGGTTTTAATATCTTCACAATACTCCATGTTTTGCATCGTCATTGATGACTTTAATTCAGCAATTTCTGTCAAATATGATCCATTAGTGTTTTTATAATTGCAACATTCATCTTTTAGTGCACTTAATTCACTATCCAGACGTTCTATTTTCTGCCTGGCAGTATCTTTTTCCCCTCTGAGCCATGACAAATCATTTTCATACTTAGCACACGTTTTTGCCAGGCCATCCATTTTGTCATGCTCTTCTTTTATCTCCTGCTTTTTTTCTGCTACTTCTTTCACCAAGAGATTATTGTTCGCCTCTAGTTTTACCTTCTCTGCATGTACTTCTTTAATCTCATTTGTCATTTCTTTCAGCTTGCTTTCACATTCACTAGCCTTATCTTTACATTTCTGATCTGCAAAAGCTAGTTGTTCCTTCAACACAATGATTTCATTCTTTCGTTTTTCAATTTCGTCAAGTAAACTTGATTTTTCACTGTCTCTGGTTTTAATATCTTTAACATGCTCCGTTTTTTGTATCGTCATTGATGACTTTAGTTCAGCAATTTCTGTCAAATATGATCCATTAGTGTTTTTATAATTGCAACATTCATCTTTTAGTGCACTTAATTCACTATCCAGACGTTCTATTTTCTCTCTGGCAGTATCTGTTTCCCCCCTGAGCCATGACAAATCATTTTCATACTTAGCACACGTTTTTGCCAGGCCATCCATTTTGTCATGCTCTTCTTTTATCTCCTGCTTTTTTTCTGCTACTTCTTTCACCAAAATTTCATTTTTCGCCTCTAGTTTTACCTTCTCTGCATGCACTTCTTTAATCTCATTTGTCATTTCTTTTAGCTTACTTTCACATTCACTAGTCTTATCTTTACATTTCTGATCTGCAAAAGCTAGTTGTTCCTTCAACGCAATGACTTCATTCTTTCGTTTTTCAATTTCGTCAAGTAAACTTGATTTTTCACTGTCTCTGGTTTTAATATCTTCACATTGCTCCGTTTTTTGCATCGTCATTGATGACTTAAGTTCAGCAATTTCTGTCAAATATGATCCATTAGTGTTTTTATAATTGCAACATTCATCTTTTAGTGCACTTAATTCACTTTCCAGACGTTCTATTTTCTGTCTGCCAGTATCTGTTTCCCCCCTGAGCCATGACAAATCATTTTCATACTTAGCACACGTTTTTGCCAGGCCATCGATTTTGTCGTGCTCTACTGTTATTTCCTGCTTTTGTTCTACAACTTCTTTTACCAAATGAATATTATTGGCCTCTAGCTTTCCTTTCTTTGTATGTAGTTCTTTAATCTCATTTGCCATTTTTTTCAGTTTGCTTTCAAATTCACTAGTCTTATCTTTACATTTCTGATCTGCAAAAGCTAGTTGTTCATTCAACACAATGATTTCATTTTTTCGTTTTTCAAGTTCGTCAAGTAAACATGATTTTTCATCAATGCCTAAAGCCGAATCATTCTCATATTTTGAAGTCATTTTCATCATACCATCAATAATGTTATTTAATCTTTCCAACTCATTAGTTTGTTTCCTCAAATTTAAAGTAAGTTCTTCATTTTCTTTTTTTCCTTTGTCTTTTTCTTCCAAAAGAAGCTTCGTGTCATGTTTAAATTCATGTAAGATGTCCTTGAATCGCATGCATAAATGTTTCAGGTCGTCATGACAAATATTCAATTCTTCATGCTTTTTAACTATAATGCCCAAAGTTTTATGATCTCCATGTAATGCACTGTATTCATCAGTTTCTCTTTTATCAATTTTTGTCTTAGGTCTCTCGTTCTTCTTGAAATCCAAACCCTGCTGACTTGACAAGTCGTTTTCAAAAACAGTTAGACTTGTGTAATTTTGACATTGTATTTCGGATATATTTGCATCGTTGTTGTCCGCCGCATCTTGATGTGAATGTGAGTATTGCTGTAAACATTGCTTAAATTGATTTTCCTGCTTCTTTAATTGCATACATACATCAGACAGTTCTTTAATTTCTTGATTTAAATGCTTGCCATTTAAATCTTGTATCTGACATCCTAAATCTTCCATCTGTTTAGTTACTTTTGTTCTGTATTCCTCGAAATTCCTTAGTTTTTCTTTATTGATTTTTTTCTGTTCGTTTTGACCAATGACAAGCTCGTCTATGTTGGCCTTCCGATTATCGACTTCTTGTTGTAAGAATTTTACTTTCTCCCTCAGTCTTTTGTTCTCCGTGATTATCTGTTTTATTTGTCCCTGCTTGTCATTACAATACGTATTGATGTCTCTATTCTTATATGTTTCGAATAATGATTCGTTAAAATCCTCAGGTATGTACTCAATCTCTTTATTTATTGAACTCGTCATATACCGAAGGAACTTTTCGAAATCGTTCACTGTCTTTTTCTTCTGACCTGAGGTTAATTCCTTAAATTATGTTTTCAAACAATAAAAATAGGCGAAATTACAAAAAATCAGAATAAATGTAGTAACGCGAAATAGCTTTAATATATCAAATCAAATTCAATCTAAATACAGAGAGATCTTAGATATAATCTGGAACATTTATCTCATATGTTTTACTACAATAACACTGATTAAAGAAAAATATGCATTTGTACAATTAACATTTTCTTCTACCATTAAATGAAATAATTCCGATGCCATTCAACAGAAACTCTTATGGCAAGAGGACCATGATCACTCACCGAAAATCATCTGCTAGAATATATCGTGATTCTTTAATTTAGCGTGACATTTAATGTCTTATGATTAATATATTTAAGAAGATGTCAACAACGAAATATTACAATTTGAAAGCTTGTGTAGAACACCAACAGCAACATACTCTTTGCAAAGACGTTTTGTTGGAATGGACTTTTAAAAGATATTTATTATATAAGTTTATCTATACAATTTAAGCGACACCATGGATCCAATGTATGACACTTGGAACATGATTTTTACACTTTTCAAACAGATCCACAAGACAATGATGCATGCCAAATATCTTTGCTGCGGGCAGCATTGTTTCAACGAAAAGACTTAATATCTTCGCTCCGATCTCAGTTTATAAACTAATTGACCCCCGGTCCCGAGCTTAGGGGCATCATTCATATAATTTCTGTTGAGGACCACAAATGATGCATGTCAATTATATATGTTCTGGCTGTCATTGGTTTGGATGAGTAGTTTTTTAAGACACAATGTCAATCTGCTGACTAATGGGCCCCACGACAGTCATGTTTGACTGTAGGGACATTATTTATAGAACTTATAGAGGTTTGATCGGCAACATGGCCAATCAAAATATCCAAGCTCTTTGCATTGCAGTTTGACCTAAAAACGTAAATATGTTGTTTTTTTATGTAAGTCTGAATAAGTTCAATCACCCGCGGTTTACATAATTGATATAAATTTTGTAGTAGAATACTAGGTGATGTTACAAGCCAGTTGTCTAAGTTCTAGGCTGTGGACTTTATCAGGAGATTTATTTTACATATTTCAGCTCTTGTGACTTACTTATGAACATCGCCGATACATTTTGGTAACTTTTTTCAAGTTTGGTCATAATCCACCTTGTGTATTACTAGGAGTTGTTAAAAGAAATTTGGGACAACGATATGCGACGACGGCGTACGCCGGACACATTCCAATCAGAAAAAACATCTCTGAGTACGCAGAATTTCGGTAAGCTAAACGGCAAATGTGGACATTTATATACATATAAAAAGGATAAATAACCAAAAACTGTACAAAAAAGAGTTATTATTCGTGCGCACTTCTCACATTTATCCACCTAGATGACGTTTTATGCCAGTTATCCTTCAAACAAAAAGATGAACATGGAAATATTAATAGGCAATGTAACTCCAAGTTAACATTTCATTCATGTGCACTAAAATACTCCTCTTCATTGAGATCTATCAATCTGAGAATTTTTAAGTTGATAATTCACACACTTAAAAGATTTTGTCCGAAGAAACATCGAGCATGAAAAATAACACAGGCAACAACTCAAAACCTATGACGTTTACTTATGCATTGAATACCTCCTGAATAACATCCAGGCTTCCGACAAAAATTAAGCATGAAACTAACAAGAAAGCCATGTTAGACCTGATTCGTTCACCAGAGGGTGTCTACAAAATCCAACGACTGAGAAGGAGATATTTCTGGTGGCCTTCTTGTTCAGCAAATCATTGTTACAGTAGCACTTTTTTGTAGAAGACTACCAAATGATTATTGCTGTAATGTTTTATAAGAATATATCAAGTTGTTTAGCGGATCGGAACTATTAAAGCAATTTTATACAGGTCCATCTAAGAATCATTCCCGTATATTTTCATCATTTTTAGCCAACAGACTGTGAAGAGGATATCGTCTAAAACTTCTTTTCTAAAACTCTGCGGCATCTTACTCAACAGACCGGAAACCATTTGAGCAGGTTTTATAAAAGACTTTCCTAATGGTTATTGCTGCAAATTAAGTTTCAATCAAAATCTACCAAGAGGTTAAAAAAGGGGATGTTTAAAGGGATTAAACTGGTGAGGCATCAAACCACATTTATATACATTATAATAAATGTATCTACAAAGATGTAAGTTATTTCAGTTTTATACCTCTGTTGTAATCAATAGCTGCAAAGCATTCCTTTGGCATTCTTGTATTCGCTCTTCTTCACTTTTGTCATTGGATGGATCATCATCTTGTTCAAAATATAATTTAGAATAATAAGCTTTTAAACATTACGCTCAACTATGGAATGGAATTGCAAATGTTTGTTTTTCTTGTTGCTGCTGCTGTTATTTTATGCTAAGTTAGAATTATTAATAAAGAATAGTTTGTTAATTTATTCAAGTTATTGGCAAATCGGCAATGAGCATTGTCTTCAGAAAATGGAATGTACATTAATTGAAATGTGATTGTTGATGAAAAAAGGGGCGCCGCTCTGGCTAGTAATCCCAAGCTGCCTCTTGATATAAGCTACCCAGATACTAATTTTGGCGTCAATAGGCAAAACGAACTCAATTTATTAAGCGGAAACTGAATTTCTATTTTAGCAACAGTGACCTTGATCTCAGACATCTGGGTAGCAATCTCAAGCTGCCTCTTGATAACAGCTACTCCTACACCAAGCTTGTTGTCAATAGGCAAAGCAAACTCAAGTTATTAAGCGTAAACTGAATTTCTATTTTTAGAAACAGTGACCTTTACCTTAATCACAGACACCTGGGTGGCAATCCCAAACTGCCTCTTGATATAGCTACCCACACACAATGTTTTGCGTCAATATGCCAAAGCAAACTCAAGTTATTGAGCGACAATCAAAAGTGTACGACCCGTCAAAAACGTTGAGCTCTTTCATAAAAAATGTAACGCAATATCTATGTATTTTATAATTATGTAAAACATTTGTTTTGCAGGAAATAATCAAAAGTCGATATTCATACAGTAGAGTACTGCATTACTATTATCATAAAAATAATTTTATGTGGTACAACTACATCGATAAACATCAATTTGAAAAATATCAGGATTTCACAATTGAGCCTTGTCTTGAATCCTTGCTTCGACTATAATTTAAGCTATTGAAGCTGGACGGCTAGAAATGTAAACAGATATGCAAGATTCTTAGGCATTGTAGTGCCGGTCCTAAAGAAATGAATTTCATTTTGTATTAATATGTTCAAAATTAAATGAAATTAAATCAAACTATATTAAGAGGTACTTGTGTACAGTCTGACTTTACGTCATTATGAAAACATTATAGCCCTCCTTCAAAACTTCGATCCTTCTTCGTTTCTGTCCATTTAGAAAGAATATGGAGTATATAACTGATATTTGGAAAGCCACATTAGCTTAATGTATAGAGCCTTGTCAAAAATGAGAGCCTAATATGTGAGAGGTCTGTGGTAAGATCCCTACTGTTGTTATTGTTTTAAACCTATCCTTTTTTTTATCTTTCTTCATTTTGCAGTATAACTTAAAAGCAATGGCCAAGTGTTTTGCAAAGTTGTCTATATATGACACAACTTGGAAACACTGTTTTGTCTCGTTTTGTATTGCATTTTACAGCTGTACAGTACTGAATCGACATTTATTATGTTTTAAATCCGTGTGCATTTTAAATATCTATTCCTAAGTCATGTCATTTAAAAAGAGTATCGATTTACCAAAATTTGGACAAAACGTATTACAAAATAAGATAACCAACGGAAAAAACAAGCATTTAGCTCCAATAAGAGCCAAAACCATATCCGAACTTGACTTGTAACTTTGGGTTAAATACTTTCACATGAGATTTCAACCTTATACACAACTAAGAGTGCGGAAACTGAAAATCTCAATTTTTTTCAAGCATTTAAGGGAGATAACTTTGTCCAAAAACCATCGATTTATGACCTAATTCAAACTTGACCTGCTTATTCCTATGATGTATCCATATGTCAAATTGAGTTGAGTGTGTACAACTGTTGGGGGAGATAATGAACTGAAACTGAAAATTTCACATTTTTTCAAAGTTCAAGAGGAATAACTATGTTGAAAATCATCGAACCATGACAATATGCGAAATTGACTTGCGTATGCCATGACATATCCGTACATTAAATTTGAGTTGAATGTGTACAACTGTTGCCAAGATGATGAGGGGAAACTGATGATGACAGTCAGACTGACGGAACAGGGTAACCCTACATGTCCCAGCCATTTTATGGCGGGGGAATAATGAAATAAAATAATACATTGTCTGACAATTAAACAATATTCTCGTTATTATCTTTGTTCATTGATATATATAATTATATATAATAACAACAATTTTAACAAATTTAAAATTAGATGCAAAACACGGCCTACATCGTTTAAAACTATCAAAGATCGTTCGAAATTTATATACTACTAGTATTTTACTAATTTACAGACTTTCAGTCAATTGTAATAGTGACTTCAGTTGTATGAATTTTTCACTTTGAATTATTTATGCTCTTTAAAATTCCATGTAGATCATATGGCATTTATTCAGCTTTATTGGTGGGTGGAAGACCTCGGGTGCCCTTCCGTGCATTATTTCAGGCAAACAGGCCTGAGTGGAGCCACCAACATTCTATAAGCTATCTAGATAGCTTCCTTACATTAAGAACCCAAAGTCTGTCAGGATTCGAACTCACAGCGGTGAGGGGCATGTAGTTTTGGAATCAATTTCTAATATCAAGATATGGTCATTCATTAACAAAGAAAAGTAATAAAATAACAGTTCTTTAACAAAGCTAATGCCCCATGTCTCTTCAGCTATGCTTCGGACATTGAACTTACAAAATGGAGATAATAACAAATTGGAAAGAAAAGAGCACAAGTCATTTGGCACTTATTTTCATAAATTTCAAGTTAAATTGTAACGGAAGTAATCACTTAACAAAAGTGCTATGATGAAAGGGCCATGGTGGCCCTTATTACGCTCATTTAACTATAAAAGCTCTAAATGAAAAGTGAAAAAGTCACTTGTTATATTGAAAATAAACTTTTGTTATGAAAGACACTGGTTACGTAGGAAAGTAAATGGTTGATAAGGGGGTCACTGCTTTCTAAGGAGAGTCATTGATAACAATGTAAGTCAGTAGTTGTAAGGGATAGTCAATGGGTATTTTAAAAGTCAATCAGTCTGGTAGATATGGAAACATGAAAGGTTTCTCTAGAAGTTACTGGTTGCTTTCGAAAAGTATTGACTGCTCTAAAAAGTTGATAAGAAAATTAATAAATGATATTGGATTCTAAAGGATGTCAGTGGATGCTATGTGAGTAGCTGTTGCTTTGGAAAGTCACAGAATGCTTCTGGTTGCAAATGGAATTCAATGATTGCTTTTTAAGACACAGTGGTTGATAAGGAAAGTACGAAAGTCAGGGGCTGATGAGGGACGTCAATGGTTACCATGGAAGTCAGTGGATGTTATGTTAAGTCACTTGTTGATATGCAATGTCAATGTTTGCTTTCAAATTCATTTGTTAGTTAGGAATGTCAATGGTTGCTCTTGGCAATATCCGGACAATTTCTGGCTATTCTATCACCTCTAGTGACTTTGACCTTGCAAATATTACCTGACTAAATGGTCCCTGTACACACCTTCAGTTTTTATCTGAACTATAACCTCTCTATGTGACCTTGACTTTGGTAGCAGGGACCTTGATTATGCGCGCAATACTTAGCCTCACACTCACAATGGTGAACATTTGTGCCAAGTTACATTAAAATCCCCCGATGACTGTAGAAGCTTTGCTCCGAACAAACATTTTTCAATGATCTCTAAGTGTGACTTTAACCTTTAACCTAGAGACAAAATCTGTATATTTCATCGTCATTTAGTGTCCTTGACCTTGCATTTATTAAGCTAAATTACAAGTACCAAAACCGAAGTTATGATAATGACCATTTGTGTTACAACCCCTCATGAAATGATGACTAAAAGGTTTGAATACACATTTACATACTTATATCTGAAATTGTATCCCTATGTGTCACCTAGCTGAAGGGACTTGGATTCTGCGCGCAGCACTCTGCCTTACAATGGTGAAAATTTGTGCGAAAATATATCGAAATCCTTCTGTGCATATAGACGTTTTGCTCCGAAAAAGGATTCTAAATGTGACCTTGACCTTTGATCTAGAGACCAGGTTCATGTGTACGACACTGCTCCTCTAGTGGTGAACATTTCTATGAAGTTTCATGAGAATCCCTCCATGCGTGTAGGAGATATGCGCTTGACAAAATCTCTATATTATCATTTTAGTGACATTGACCTTGCATATACTAACCAAAATTACATGTTTCATATTCGTAGTCATGATAAGAATCATTTGTGTTTTAATCCCTCAATAAATGATGACTAAATTGTCCGAATGCAATTCTCTTATAACATATCTTTATCTGAACTTTGACCCCTTTGTGTGACCTTGAATTTGGCCACAGGGACCTGAATGTTACACACGACACCCTGCCTCACAATGTTTAACATTTGTGTTAAGTTATATTGAAATCTCTCTATGCATGTAGAAGTTTTGCACCGGCCAAGCGTGACTTTGAGCTTTGACATGTAGACCTGGTTCATGCGTGTGACATAGCTTCTCATAGTATGCGCGTGACATAGGTTCTCATTGTGGTTATATTTCTATGAAGTTTCATTATCATTCTTCCATGCGCATTGAAGGTATGCTCTAGTCAAAATTTGACGCCGCATGCCAGGGTTGTTCCTATTATACCACCCGTTTTTTTTCAAACGGGTGTATACAAATCTGGAAAAGGGCGATTCATCAGAAGCATAAATAAAAAGAATTACATGAACATTACAGACTCTGATTGAGTCTGTTTATTAGGGATAATGGGAAAATGCAACATCACTCACGCACCCTAGCACCGACTTAAGCGGTTTTCAATCTTCATCACTTAATGTGCTGGAATTCATATCCCGAAAGACCAGTAAAATAACAAGTTAACAGATGCTGAAAATCATTGGATGATTATTAAAGTATATGGTTGCTATGAAAGACAATGGTGCTAACAAAAGTCAGCTGTTGCATTTAAAGTCAGTGGTTTCTAAGGGAAGTCACTGATTGCTATGTAATGTAAACTGCTGGTGTAAAAGTCACTTGGTGCTATGGAAAGTCATCGTTGGAAGTCACTTGCTTCAAAGAAAAGTCAATAATTGTCTTGGG